TATAGCTTTTAACATTAACAATCCTTAAAAAATGATTGCATGCTATATTTAATATCACAATAATCAAGCATCACTGTGGCTTCTCAGTGAAACAAGATATTTCGCACACAGAAAAAAAAAATTATAGCAAAGTTCCAATATACACACTACTCAAGACTAGAGTGTGAGTAGAAAACAATTTATAATACAAGCAAGTACAATTAACAAAAACCTTGTCTTTTACTAAAACGTTCAGTTTTCACCTATTGATCCAGTAATTTCTGTATTGCTTTAAAATTCTGTTAATAAATGATGACACTAAGCATTCTACGTTCTTAAAATATATAGCTAATACTAATGTCTGTTTAGATACTCAATCATAAAGGTAGAACAGGCACTAATTATAACCAATCTCTGAACTAATCATTAAGTGTTTCTTTAGTTTTCTGATTTGGTACCATGGTTGATCAAACTTTTCTCTATTAATATTTTACAAAGACTTCTAAAAACCTTCTAGATGACTTTCAGTTTTAATAAAACATAATGAACACTAGACACAAGAATCAATCTAACAAGAGCTTCTTAACATCAAGTTTGACAAAAATTTCAGGATCTGGATTTTCTGGTGAACAATTTCTTGTTTACAAATGTAAACTTACTTCTATAATAAAGAAATGTCAGGTGCAAACATTCTATAAAACTAAATCTAGTTGACACAATGATATTTTTACTTTCTTTGATATTCTGTTATCACAAACATGTCATAATCACATATATAGCCACCCAAGAATCACTTTTCTTATCTTGGGAAGAAGTGGATTATAATCCTGGTATGGCTTTTACAAACATTATTCACACTATACTTGAGCAGAAAGATTACTTTTATTTAATTTAAATATACATGAATTAAATATTCAATACAGATAAAGTAGCATACAAAATATAAACATGGTCAGAAAATAAAAAGTAATGAAAAACTGTTAATAAGAACCACAAAACTAGACCTAATCTCCCAATCTTTTGAGAAAACAACAACAAAAAAAAAAAAAAACTTCATAAAGGTTAGATACAACTTAAAAATCCACCCTCGATAATGTCATTACATTCACTTATACTGTAATAATTCTTCATTTTAGTTTAGGAACAAACTACAAGGGTTTTACATTATTTTTATTCCAAAGACACGTCTCTGCACCAGTTTACAACAAATTTTACTTTTCATAATTAAATTTATGGAGTGTTGCATCTTAACAAAGAAGTCAAGATAAATGAAGTCTACAATTCATGCTACATAGCAGCTTTTGAAATATGGTATTTTAAAGAACTAAGATGTTTCACTTCCACTTGTATCAATATGCAGCCACAGAAACATCAATGGAGAACAGGGTGCCAGTACCATTTCCTTTCTCATGTAACTCAGTAACTAGTGCAGTTGCATCATGTTCAAGAATATTAATTCAAAGATGAATAATTAAAATTAGGCAACTGTTTCTGAGGTTACAATTCATTTCCCATTCCATAACACACCTACTATCCAAATAACAAATACCCAAAGCTTACCAAAATCTTAAAAAATAAAGGGATTTACATGATGGAACTAATCAGAGATGTAACAAGAGCATGAGATAAGCTGACGAGTCACAACCAACTTCTATAATTACACCGTAGTATTTTGTTCTGTATAATTTTTCTGGGTAAATTGCAAAGTAGCATAGTCTGGTGTACATTTAACATTGACAGTAGAACATACAAACATTTGATTCAATACTTAACTGGCAAGTTAAACAGGTACATTTTATTGATGAATCACATAAAACTAATTTAATGTGGTCTAACACTCTTGTATCTAGCATGTAAGTCAAAAGAGTGCTTACAAAGTTCACAAGAAAGTGAGCAAATTACTATGATTATTCTAACTTGTCAGTTACAGAGATAATTAAAAACTGACATTGACAGAAAGATCCCAATTTGTTCAAACGGGAAAAGAAGTAACTATGAAAGGCGTATGGACAAAGCTAGTGAAGAAATTGTACATCAGGACAATCGTATTTACAGTACAGAAAGGTATCCATAACAAACTTTCAAAATTATATGAACAATCAAAGATGTACAAAACTTTCATAATATTCCAGAACATCTAATGAGAACAAAAACTTCATTCTGAAGATGAAATGTTTAAATTAAAACACAAGGTCTGGTGATTATGACTTTAATGGAATCTAATAATTAGCATCAAGGACTGTATATCAGCAAGATTAATAAATATGAAAGGTGTTACGTTACTTTAATAATGAGAGTTTTGCAAGTCATGGAAAGTTATTTTTCATCTAAGCATCTATATAGAATGTGGACAGAATTGAAAAGTTTTCTTCAAATTGGTCTATTGTAAAGTGAAGCCTATATTTACACAATTTTTATATATATTTTTTTTTAAAAATCAGCTCATCTGGTGAGAGGTAAGAATCTGGAACCTTTTCTTTTTGTGAACGTTTTCATTTAAGAAACAAATACTTTTTGTTGACAAAAATACTGAAACCTCATTTATAATTTACTGGTTTATCTTATTTAATGTTCTAAGCAGTTGTTTCTATAAACATGAGTTAAACACCATCTAGTGAGACAGCTTATTTTAGGTAAACTTTCTTGAAACTGGCAAAAATTCAAGTATGCTTAGTAGTGTAGTAAAAGTTATAAGATAAACTGGAAGATCAGTTAGTTTTTTATCTATGCTGAATAATGTTCAAAAGGACCAATAATTGGAAGAAAACCTAGTTAACTGGTATAAAGTTATAAGTTATACAGAGAGAACCATGACTCATTTAGAAATGCTTCACAGAAAAACCTGCCCCTATTTTTCTTACTGTCTTGACTTCCACTATAATTAGACATTCTGGGATATGGCAGTAATATACATAATTTTCCTTTAGATATTGTAAATAGCCTAACCAACAATAAATCATTCCACTGACTGATTTTCTACAGCAACTACGTTGTTTGTCTTTTCATTTGTTCTATAATTTCCATCTCCTTCATTTAATTATTCCTATTAACCATGCAGCTCTCACACACACACACACACACACACATATACTATCTTTTATTAATATTTACAATCAGGAACTATCTCTGTCCATGCTTTAGCAGGGGGGTTATGTAGAAGAATTCTGATGCTGGGGATGACCTGTCAGTGAAGCCTGTGGGTGGGGTGGAGCTCCCACAGTAGATGTCGGTGGATGCTGAGACTGTGCAGACACATGAGTTACAGATTGGGACAGTTTGTTCAGAGTTTCCTGTGAAGCATTAGCTTTTAAAATGCCATTTTCATATTCAAGCTGGGAGATCTTTTCCAGAAGTTCTCCAATCTTTTCTTTCAACACATCTACTTCTTCTCTCACAGCAAACATCAGGTGACTCTTCACAAGGTCCTGAAATAGCATGTATAATTAGTTTGCTAGCTTAATCATAAGCAAAAATGGAGATATTAAATATCATATTGTATTTTAAACAGTGGCCTTGTTGAAATAATAACAAGCTTTTAACTTAGATTAATTCAGTTACAACTTTTTTAATGACTACAAAATTGGGGGTACGTTTAAGTTCTGTTCCCGAAACACTAAGGTTTACGACCTCGAAATGCAATACAATTTGGAGCAAAACTGAAATTGGATGTTAGTAAAGAAAGTAATGAGAACTTCAACAGTTGAAAATATTCATATAGTTTTATTTTAAGCAGTGTTACTACCTTCTAATACAACGTTTGTCTTTAAACAAAACGAAATATTTCCATTAACAGTTTAATACCAAATATTATTATTTTTTTACTATTTAATACTCTATAATTAAGTTTTCACATCCAGAAAGCTTAAAAGTCTACATTTTATTCAAAGGAAATACATACCCTTACATTATTTAGCTATAGATTCACCTAATTGGTAAGTATAAAACCATCATTAAGTTAACATTATAGTTAATTAACACAGAATAAAAGACACCTAATGAATGTTGTTCTTTAAGCTTCCCTGTTTGAACAAATTTTGTTTCATTTTCTTAAAGATGTAACTCACTACTTTGTAAGAAACTATCAAATACTCTGATTTTAACCTACCCCCATAACTACCTTAACACATCTGAGCATTTAGTTATTTTCACAGTTTAATTGTGCAGTATATGAAAAAGTTTAGTTGACTAAGTTAATTATCAAATAAACATCATGGTGAATATTATTTTAATGCAACGAACAATTGCATTTCAATTTGCAGAATTGTTAGGTATGTTCACTCCAATGTTTCACACCAAAAAAAAAAAATTCTGTGGTTCTACCACTACTGTATCTTTATTAGAATTTTCATTAAAACTTACTAGAATGTGTTCCTTAAAAGTTCCTGATTAATGCTACAATTCCACTGTTCCCATACATATTTTTTATGGCTATTTATGTTCTAGATTCTTAAAAACGTAATTAGGCAAACTTACCATGGCTTGTTCAATCTTGTTGTCTATGGCTACAGTACTGGATCCTGTAGAAGCACTATAAAGAAATAAGATTATACTGTTATTTCTCTCATGATCCTTATCTATAAATACCGAAAATTTCATAAACTCTGACAATACATTTGATGTTTCATAAAGCAATTTGTTCTGTTGCAAAAGAAGTCTACAAACGCTACACACTGTCCTCAAAACAACTTTTTTTTTATGTTAATCATGAAACATTTTAACTTGTCCATAACAAAATTCTATATTAGAAATTAAATACAACAGGTCTCACTTAAGCAATGATACTTCTCAAAAACAAGACTATGGTGTAAAAAGTAAATTCAAATTTGTTGTATGTCCAGAACCTACGAAGTGTGAAAGCATACTGACAAAAGACTCTTATGACATAACACATTAACAAAGCACGAAGTATTCTCTTCAAACCTGAAACCAATAAGTAAACCCATCCAACTCCAGATCCGTTGGCACAGTGCCAGAAAACTCGTTTAGACCATATGTGCATGAAGTGCCTAGAAAAATCGATACTTGAAAACATTTTTAGTAAAATATTATCATTCTTTTCTGTTTTGGACAAATCTTTATTCATACGTTTACAAATGGTTGAATTGACTCGTTAATCTCACATTTTCGGTCAGTTACACTTCCACAGCCAATAGTGCCAAGTTGGAAATAGATTACAGCACTCTATCGTAATAAAAGTCTTCGGATGCAAGAGTTTCATAAATTAGCTAATGCTTCAAATCTCAATTGCCCGGTGTAATTTCTGTCTGTTTTAGCACAATGAAAATATCAGTCACAAAACGGCAAGATACAAGAAATGGGTTCAGACTCTGAAATATTACACGTTTTGCTTTAGGTTTTTAATACACAAGCACTTTCTTCAAAGACCTTATTCTAAGTAAACTGAAAGACATTTTCAATCGTTCAACAACTTTAAATAAATCAACCGAGAAAGCTGTGTAATCTGCCTTCTAATCTCAATAATCCCATACTAATTAAAACAATGTCATCATATAACATTTTTGTTGTGTGGTGGCGGTGCCAAGGACCCGGAAATAGATGGTCATTTTGCTTGAAATCAAAAAACTTTACAAATGGATAAGTCTGTATATTATGAAATATTACAATATTCAAAACACAGGTCAAAAAGCCAAGAAAGAGTAATTAAAAAAAATACTGATCGACCATCTCCTTTCTGAAATACGTGAAAAACAAGCCTATGTAAGGTACCTAACGAAAAACAAAATAATTCTGAATACTAATTATTTTATTAACGTATAGTACACATATTGGGTCGAGTAAACACACCTACTTCTGGTCACGTGCTGGTACTAAAGCGAATGATAAACTAGATCCAATTGTTTTCGAAAAATAAATTTTATTGGTGAAAATTACACTACACAACTATAGGCCAAACTTCAGATATACATATACCAAACACATAACTTAAAATTAGTATTACATAGATTTTAAGTATTAAAAAGTAACAACTAATACATAAAATTAAGATATCGTTAGTTTCAAGAGCAAGATATTCTAAAATTACCCAGAACTCTTACCTTCTATGAAATATTACTGTACATAAGTTAACAGTATGGGTTACAAACCAGTGTACACTTAAAATCAATCCTAGTATATAAAATTTGAACCAAGCAATTTCTTCTTTAGCAAACTGACAAATTGAATGCTCCAGTAAGTTCGTTTACCTCTAACAGTACCACTACTACTACTAGTAAGAGCGCACAATTTCCGTTCAGGTGAGCGTTCGTTGCCTATCAAAGACAAATATCCGCAGATTTCTCCTCCTTCAGTTTGGACACGCTTCTCCACATGATGTTCGGCAGACACCAAGTTCAAAATCGATCACATTCATTTTCTTGGTAATACATTAACACTGACTAAGGTGAAATACTGCTTCGCTGGAGAGTAAATAAAGCTACTGATTCCGCATAATTTATGAAAACGTCAAAAAAAAGAAAAAAAAAAAGAAAGGATAAACTCAGTGACTGGTAACTTTTATTAACACGACGTTCTACATTAAAGCTAACTAAAAACGTGAAGAACCAGCCTATCCTGTGAAAGGCTTAATTGTCGTACTGGTATTACGATCATGATAGATCAACGTTAAGCCTACACCCAGCATCTTCGAGTTTTATTACTAATATTAAGTTAATACAATCAGTATCACAACTTATCAACATAAATTAACATAATCTAAATAAACCAACTCATTTATGTCTTACAGAATACATCACCATAGCTCAGTAACAAACCTTTCATACACAATGTATTATATAAAAAAATTAAGTAGTTCAGGTTCCCTTGACAAAAGGCATTAACTCTATCCACGTCTGATGTGTTACTCGCAACAAATATGGCGTCGCCAATATAACGATCCAGCTTATGTGAGATTGCGTGTCTCCTACTCGACTACGAACAGGATGCACAGGCAAAGCAAAGAGACGCTCCAAAATACCGGCTTACATTGTTCCCTCCCCCCTGAGCTGTTGCTACGGTTGCTAACCGGCAGGGAAAAAAAGATTGGCTGTCAGCATACGTAGTAGGCTATATATATATATATATATATATATATACATACACGCACAAGGTATGTGTAAGTAAACCCTTGTTGAAATAGGCACTCATTTAGTTTTTAACTTAACAGCAGAAACTAAATTATGCACTTCACATACTGAAAAATACATTAAGGAATTTAAAATAAACAGTTTTGACTAATTTTTCACATAAGAATTAAATAATACTTTACCAGTTACTCGACAGTAGCAACACACGAAAATATTTTTTTTTTAAAATGAAGTAACAGAACAGGATTATTCAGTACAAATGTGATCAATACATAATCTTATCTCGATCATTTGAAGTTTAAAAACAATTTAAAAAGGAAACGAGAGCTTTGTAGCGCAAACTAAAGATGTTCAGTTTTACTAGCATGCGCGGGAGTTTCGGCGTTTGTAATAGTTTTCTTACATACTATATAAACTACTTTGAGTGGTCTTTAAATAAGTCAGTTTACGACACTGAGAATACCATAATATATAATAAAAGACGATCTTGCCTAAACATACTTCGATTTGACTATTATGTTTTATTTCAGATGTCTAGTTATTATAGATAACAGCACATTTTAAAATTTAATGCGTAAGATTAAACTAACTATCGATGTTCTTTAGGGATTTAATTTTGGTTATTATCAGTTAAAGAGACAATGAAAGAAACTTACAATTCGATTTTAGATTGTGTGTATAATATAATGGTCTACTTCAAATAATCACTACTTTATGGTATAGTAACTTTAGTACAAGGTATAAGGCACAGAAATGAAACACATAAACAAGTTTACACAATGGGCTACCTGCAGTCTGCTCACCGCGGGTATTGAAACTCGATTTTTAGTGGTATAAGCCCTCAGACTTTGTCGCTGAGCGACCAGGGACTAACAAATGAAATAAAACAGATTTGTGAAAGAGGTTTTAGCATTCTGACGTACAATATTAATAAAAAATGTTTCGTAGTTGCATGAAGATATATATTTTTCAATTTACTAACCAACTTTTGTGCAAAACATTGCAAACACAAGTAATAGAGGCTACAAAACTACCCTGACCTTGAGTTTTCTTAAAGTCTCTGATTTTAATCCTCTATTCAAGATCAAGGGCAAATATGCTTTATCAGTGTTACCGCCTACAATTACAAGATACACATGCGCACGTACATCACTGAAATAAAATGACGTAAACAAAGGTGCAAGGAGTATGATTAGCATGCAATCCAGTATTTGCACGGCGAAGCTTTAACACAACTTCACATAATCCAATTCAACACTTACTTAACAATAATATATTTCTGTTTTATTTCGCTGGCTTTTTCATGCCTCTAAAACATGCTATATAATCATACAAACGTATCACTGAAACACAATCAATAACTTTTAACAATATGCAAAATGAATAATAAGAAAACAATCCCACGATTCACAATACTAAAACGCCAAATTAAAATTTAATAAAAAAAATGCGTAACTAAGTATGTATTATAAATAGATAACCTGGAATTTCATACAAAAAAGTATCTATATAAATATAATAGTACTGTCTGTTGTCTGTCCATGTAACTACTTTGCAGGGTGTGATGGATCTTCACCAAAACAGGTGTGGAGGTTCATTGGGAGATACATACAAATTTTCAGTTTTGTATTTTGCGTTTTGCGGTTTTTATAGATGGAACTTTGACAAATTGGGTATGGTGATTCATTGGGTTCATGAGGAGATACATACAAAATTTGTTTTGCGGTTTTTATGGGCATTTTTTACCACTCCCACACCTCCTGTGGATGGATCTTCACCAAATGTGGCGTGAAGGTTTGTTAGTCCATGTGGAGATACATGGAAATTTGTGGTTTCACATTTTGTGTTTTGCAGTTTTTATGGGCGTTTTTTACGATTACATATAAGGGAAGCAGCTTTTCATATCCTAAAATAATCTTTCATTAATCATGAATTTACATAACTTCCGTCCAGGAGACGGGTACTCCAGCTAGTCATTTAAATAAAACAAATTCAAAGATTTATAGCACAACATTTGCTTGTAAATAAGCATGACGTTATACTGCTAATAGAATAGAATTAAAATATTTAATGATGTAGTTTAAGATCCCAAGCAAAAGAAGGCCTGAAGAGGATTGCCAGGTGCTACTCTGAAAACCTCCTAGCGATGAGCCATCTTCCCCTATTTACAAAATACCTTTCCGAGAGGGGGAAGGTTGGATATATATATTATTGACAGTCCCGTTCTATTTCTGATAAATTTTTAAGTTCCCTATTAATTCATACGAAGTTAAAGACTACTGACAATATTAACTAAAGTACAAAAGAACTATGTTTACTTTTGGAAGGGCGAGGGATAGAGTGTAAGGCGTGACTTAATGACAAGTACTATTGGTTAGTGAAGCAGTCCACTGTTGGAAACCAGGCTTCAAATTTTAAAAGATCACGGGAACACTATATGAAATTT